AAGAGCGACCAGCATGCACATTGTAGAAGTTGCAATATAGAACTATGCTCTCAAAAAACATGTTGTGTGCGCGCCCAAAACAATAACAGACGTTTTTCATGACTCAAAGGTCTTTGATCTACCGCTGATCATGGGACGGCATTAACCTTATACCGAATTCAACGACACTATTTACCGATTCCGTTTTTTTTGTCGGTTCGGCAACACTGCAGATGTGCAGATCACTTTAAAAGCAATTGATATCCCAGTCGTGTTATAATAATAGAAATTACAAGAACATATAACAATGTTTGGATATATATTTTCATAAATAGGTATTTTTGATTCGGACTTATAATATCTAGACGATAAATAATAGGTGGATGCGGATACTTTTACAAATATCGATGTTTTAGGACCCAGAAGTTCAGAACTTGCTGTTTGTTTACATTTGGTGTGGATTTCTGGATCATAAAATGGCAAAAATTGTTTTTGATGTAACAAAAGATGGCGAACCAGTTGGAATACGTTTTATATCCTTTTTTTTTGCAAAATAACAAAAATCGGTAGGTTTCTAGAGGTACGTATTTTGTAAAACACCCTGTACGTGATATACAGACAAAACTAGATTGCCATGCATGAACAGTCGTCAAAAACAGTGAAAACATCCTACCAAATATAATAGCTAGAAAATCGACCTGTTATTTCTCTCATTTTCATTGGTCCATTTAAAAACTGACCGTATTTTGTGAAATGATAAAAATTTGAAATTCTATGAAAGTTATCCTAATTCTAAAGTACAAAGACATAATATTTCATCTAGAATGTACCCTTATTTATAAAGCAACCGTTTTTTTAACATTTCAATAGAAATCGCTGATATTCAGAGAGCTTTGACAGTTTCCGTCAAATTACATTTCGATAAGGTCTTTCCCTATTGGTCTAACTGACCATCAAATATTAATGTTGGTGAAATTGGCCCTAAGAGCATTTATGGAATGCCCATTATCGGTATATACAGGGTGCGGTCAAAGTTGAGTCAAAAGCTCCGTAATGAGAGAATTCGTTGACATTATTAAAAATTATTAAAAAAATATTATCAAGTTAAATGGCCGTTTTAATAAAAATTGCAGCATTTACTGCTCCATCATGATACACCAACTCTTACAAATAGCTCCAAAGAGAAAAATCGCAAGGCGTTAAATCCGGGGGCGAGCAGACCAAGAAATGGGTCCATTGCTATCAATCTATTCGGAGACTCATTATTTAGATGTTCATGAACTTGTCGTCTAAAATTTGGTAGATCCCTATCCTGTAGGAACCACATATTCTGTCTCGCATTTAGAGGAACATCTTCTAATAATTGTGGTAGATTGTGTCGAAGAAAATCTAAATAAATGCCACTGGTCAGTCGAGGTGGGAAAAAGTAGGGCCCAATAAGCATACCATTCACCACGCCGGCCCAAACGTGCGGACTTTCTGCTGCTGAAACATGATTGATGGGGGAATTGCGTACCCCATTCCGTATAAATGTGGCCTCGTCTGTACATAAAATTACTTTCGTGGAATTTTCATTTTTACCGAACTGTTCTAAAAGCCACTGGCAAAATGGAACTTTTTTATGATGATCTTCAGGTTGTAAAGCCTGAACCCGGTGATAATGTCTAGTGCTTATTGTTGGGTAGTCTTCGACCATTTCTGAAATGTCTTCCCCAATTTGTAGCATTTCAGGTTGGGCAGGACTGCCAGCGTGACCTCCTCGTTGTCATTTTAAATATCATGTGTCACCAAGTCTAATAACGGGTGATTTTTTAAGAGGTATAGGATGTGATTTTCAAAAAAAACACAAAAAATTTGAAAAAACGATTAAATCCTTATTTGAGTCGATAGAACGGTCGATATAATTTAATGTTTAAAGATTTTGGCACACTCTCTCCAACATATCGGCCGGTATCTCACGAATAAATGCTTCAATATTGGCTTCCAGTGCGTCAATCGTTGCTGGTTTATCCCTGTAGACATTAGCCTTAACATGGCCCCACAAGAAATAGTCCAACGGCGTTAAATCACACGATCTAGGCGGCCAATTGACGGGCCCCAAACGTGAGATAAACTGTTCACCGAACTCGCCTCTCAATAGGACCATTGTTGCGTGTGCGGTGCGGCGTGTGGCACCGTCTTGTTAACACCACATGTCAGCCAAGTCCATGGCATATCAGCAACTTTTGACCAAATGCTGTCAACTATAAAAAGTCAGCATGTTTAAAATAAAAAAAATAGAACATAAGCAATACTCTTCTGTTTATATGAACTTACTTCCTAATCAGTTCTGTTCATTTGTGGATACAACAAGTACTTGGTTTGGCAATGTGAAATAAATCACCACCAAGGAGAATAAAATCTACCTCTTCAGCTTCTTCAATCTTCAAGACATCATCAAAAGTGTCGAATGTATCATTTCCTGCAGAATCAACACAAAATAAAATAATGAAGTTCAAGCCTTCAGCTAGTTTTAAGTCTCATGTTAGTAATTTCACTCACCTCTGATAGGATCACTCTCCATGAATCCTAGATGAATGTCACTGGCAATTAGTATCGTTAAAACATTATCTTCATTTATTTTTACTGACATAGTGCTGATCACAGAATCAGATAATAACAACAATGACTTTCGAGTTAGTTTTGCTTCACTCTCATCGTATATTTTTTGTGCTTCACTTGCTTGAGAGGCTTTGGGGTTGGGGTTAGAATTTCGGTTTTTATAGACCTTTCAGAGATTCACAAAAAATGTCACTGTTGCACATATATTAAGTAGTTAGCAGAAACTTTAGGGTATAATAAAATAAGAACCATTTGTGAAATTACTCAAAGTTGACACAGGTTGTTCAAAAAATCAAACTGAAAAAAATTGGAGGGAACATCAATAACTTTTGAATGGAAACCACAAAACACATAAGACTGAAGGACTATCGAAGGAATTTAAAGAATGCGCCGGGAGATTAGGAATGCTAGGAATGTGCCGAGGATTTAGTTTGTTTACAATTTAAAATCTGCTGAAAGTGATATTGCCCATATTGAAGAAATATTTTATGACCATAGACGCATAAAATATCCTCAATAAAGGAAATACCTGATTCAGCAGTTTTGCTGGTAACCAATTTTGGGATAATAAAAAATAAATGCGTAATTAATAAAATATTTATTAAATAGTTAAGTATATGAATAATAAGTAATAATTTATCATCACAGTACATTGACAATAAATATAGGTATTTTCAGACATCCGGAGCTTTCTCTATATTATTAAGTGAATAAGTGAAAAAAAGCACAAATCATACATTAGTAGCATGAAAACAATAAAAAGGGACCCTCAGTAATCAAAGGAAGTGTTTGTTAATCCATCATGAGGGGCAAAACAAAGTTTGTTCTCATCGCACGGTAGCGCTCGCCATTCACAGTTACTTTCCGGCCATTGTCGTCTTTGAAGAAGTACGGCCCGATGATGCCACCGGCCCATAATCCACACCAAACAGTGTTTTTTTCGGGATGCAGTGGTAGCTCTTGCAATGCTTCTGGCTGGTCTTCACTCCAGATGCGGCACTTTTGCTTGTTAACGTACCCATTCAACCAGAAATGAGCTTCGTCGCTGAACACAATTTTTCGATAAAAATGTGGATCTTCCTCCAACTTTGCCAGCGCCTATTCACCAAATGGGAAACGTTGTGGGAGATCTTGTGGCTTCAATTCTTGCACCAGGTGTATCTTATAAGGTTTTACACCCAAATCCTGTCGCAAAAATTTTCCACGTAGTGGAGTAACAGAGGCCCAATTGCTGCGAACGGCGGCGAATCGACATTTCAAGGTCATCACTAACACTGGCGGATACAGCCGCAATATTTTCTTCAGTCCTCACTCCACGTCTGCGTGTTGGTGGTTTAATGTCCAATAATGTAAACTGGGTTCGAAATTTAGTCACAAGCTTCCGAATAGCTCCCTCAGTAGGCGGACCAAATTGCCCATAAATTGGAAGCAGTGCTCGATGCACTCTCTTAACCGAGCATGAATTTTGATAGTAAAATTAAATAATTTGCAAGCGTTGTTCGTTCGTAAGTCGATTCATGGTTAAATTATAGACTAAACTGAACAAGTTTGACAATGACACAAGACACGATTCACGCGTCATCTGTCAAAAGCAGTGTTGCCAAAAAGGTACTAGCAAAAAAATCACCCATTACACAATTAAATTTACAAACATCCGTGTGGCCGGATGATTTCTTAAAGGAAACCTTTCCGTATACTACTTGAATGCTGTGACTGCATCTAGTTGGCACTCTCCGTATGTTAGTATTATGTCAACTAGTTCATTGTTTTCGTAAACAAGGGCCATTTTTTCACACAAAATAATCAGACAAATGAGAGTATACGCACTATTAAGAGAGATACAAGTGATCCGACCAAAAACCATACAATAACGCAGAAAGTTTGCCAAATTTAGAAAGACGATAAGAGTCGCAAACAAAAAAACGCTAAGATTATACACGGCAGAGGTCGAGAATATCAAAAAATCTGTGAAATAACATTCTTATTTTTTAAAATCATTAGACTTTTACTATTTCTTTTATTATGCAACTTTCATATATGTAATTTTTATATATCAACTTTTTTTGACGAGTCCTACAGGCAGCTAAAATGAATGACTCAACTTTGAAAACACCCTATAGAGACCATGCTGATGAGTAGCCAAGAAGCACGAAACATCTGTCCATGGTTGGCTGTCTTTCTATCGGACGGACGTGCTTAGTTCAAGAAACTTTTGTCTTTAACATCTTTTGTATATCGGTTGATTTCTGAGATAAGAGGATCAAGTATTGATACCCCTCTGCATTCGTTCTTCACATCACACACCTTCCAGTTCGAATCATCCTTTTCGAGGCTCGTTTTCCAGAATATTCGAGCTTGTAGGTATACCTCAGGAGGCATTTATTTGTTCGAATGTCTAAAGTGGAGGATTTTAATTTCAGTCCCAACAAGTGCAGCGACTTTTACATATGCCACAAGAAAGACGAAGAATCCAATGCGATGGAAAGGATCAAATTGAGTTGTCCCAAAGGCATGACTTTCGACAAAAACATCAAGAAATGTACGTCTAGAACTGATGCTGCATGCCTTACAGGAAGAAAGCAAAATAATCATTGATACTGAATAAATTGTAAGATAAAAACAATCCAGTTATACTCGTATGTAAGGAAACTATGATTGTATGCTCAGAATTAGCCGGGGGTAAACCGCAGAACATTTTATATGTTCATTTGTTGTTGGTGAAGTTTGAAAAGGTTTTCTGTTGATGGTCAGGACAAGTCTATGGTTTTTTAGTAATTAAGGCAAGCTTCGTCCAGAATCTTATTGTAGACCATAAACGATTATTATTGAAGCATATTAGCAAATTTTCCCGAAATAATTGTAAAGTCTGGTTTTACTAATGCAAGTTGTTCAAGGGGGTATTCAAAATATGGACGCATAAAATGGGTACACCAATTCTTGTGGAAAAACTTTTTATTTGACAACAAAGAATGAGAAAACGTGTTTTTTGGGACTCAATCGAAACTGTTAACCGGAACATTTTTTTAGATATTTAGGTATTTATAAGACCCACAAAATCAGACCACACATAAAAAGATCCGACTAATAGCAAAAATGTTATGGCGGAAAAACGAGGGAAAATGCAGGTTTTAACACTTGTTGGTAACACGACGATAATTCCACACAACTACTTGGAATTCTTCAAATCCGTAGGATTTATACTTCCTACAAAAACGAAGTATATTGGTCAAGTATTTTTTTTTGAGAATTTATAATTGTTTATCCTGAAACACCAACTACTACTTTATTGGAAATATACAGGGTTCGTTAATAGTAAAATACCTTGCCGATATGAATCACAAATCATTACGAAAGATAAATGTTATTTTATGCGAAAAACAAAGGTTACGTTCTTTTCTTCTAAGCAAATTCAAAGATTTCGTATTTGTGAGTAATTGAACAGGCGCTACGATATTCGAAAAACATACGTTACTATACACATTTTAAAACAAAGCGGATGTGTCTATAGTCAACGCCAAACAAAGTGGCGTGCACGTCATCAAGGTGGGTGTGTTGAAAAATTTACATTGTTGCCAAACTTTTTGTAAAATAATAAAATTTATTATTTACATATCTAGGTTTATAAGCAATATTAACCTCAAATGAGAACAAAAATAATAGTATAATAAAATTATAGATCTGTACTTGCATAATCATTAAGTATGACAATTATTGATCAGATGACACTATGAAACTACCATATTTAATTGATAGCTTAAAGGTACTGAATAAAAATCCAAATGGGGTCCTCCAAATTTTATGCATGGTATTTATTTTACAGAATTCATACAGAAAAATGCATTCTAAAATTAGGTAAGCTACTGGTGTAAGCTTTTTCTGTACAATAAAGTTAGTCGGAGTTTCTTTCTTCAGCGCTGTCTGAATCTGAATCTTCATCACTCTCAAAGTTGATTATTAAAGGTTCGATGTCTGGTCGATCAAAAATTCGTTCTCTTTCATACCATTTAAAAATTTCTTGCTCAGTATGTCGAACACTATTTTTCCACATGTCTGGGGTAACCGTTTGTAGAGCCTCGTTCCACATATCCAAACAGTCTTTTTCACTGTTACCATCTCTACCAATATGTCTGTTATAGTAACCTTTTGCTATGCCCCAAATTAACTCAATAGGGTTAAATATACAATGGTAAGGAGGCAGACGAAGAACTTTGTGCACATGTTGTTCCGCCAATTCATCAATCACGTATATTTTAGGTGGTTTGTTTCTAAAAAAGCAGTTATTTTAAGAATAGGAATAAACAAAAGAAATATAAACTGTCGACCAAAATATATATAATTAAGAAGCATTATGTACTGAGCAACAATACTCAATAGCTCTGTTTTAAACATTGTGTTTAAAAATGGTATGTTTTGATTTGTCAACCAGTCTTGGATATTTTTTTTTGTCCATGCATTGTTGGGCACTTTGTTCAATATCATGCTGTGATAAGGGGCGTTATCCAGTATAATCATAGATGGACTCTCCAATTTTTCTAATAACTGATGTTGAAACCATTTCAAAAATTGTCCTGGTTCATCTCTCCATGGTAATCGCTCAATTTTGTTTTCGAAGAAAATATCGCTTCACTACCCTCAATAAACCCATTTTCATTTCCAGCATGTAATATAATGTATCTAAAATATATTAGTTTTAAATTTTATAGTGCAAACTGTGTAAAAGTACATACCTTTTACCATCTGTTTTAATAGCTTTCACGCTTTTTTGGTTTCCATTTTGCCAAGAGCGACCTATGGTCCCATTTTGAAATATCCAAGTTTCATCGAGGAAGACAAACTGGTATAAGGCCTCAACCTTGGCTTGATTGTATTGCCTTAGAAATTCCACCCTTTTCAAAGCTATACTTGGTAGTTCCATGAGCCCTCGTCGCGGATTGTCCTTAAGCCACTTAAATCCAAGATCTCTAAGCAACCGCCTTAAAGACGTGGCACTACCATCAAATAATGCCCTATCTCTTAATCGAGACCATAAAGTTTGTATCGTAACTTGTTCTTCTGAAACCATGTGTAATATGACATTATAATTTAGTTAACAAATTAATGCAAATTTCTGATAAGTTATTATAATAAGATCTTACTTTTAATGTCGCTGTGTTGGTTACACGTTTAATATAACTCCGCTTTTTCTTGGGCGATTCTAAATTTGCATCACTTTTCACACCCTCGGAAATACGACTAACTGTCCTTAAACTAATTTTTAAAGCAGCAGCAACACGCTACAAAAAATGAAATAAAATTTCACTATTATTAATATACATTACATATAATTATTAGTAACCTACCTCTTGAACAGCATTTAAAGGCAACAAACGCCCGTTGTTGTCCCTTTCTTTCTCAAAGTAGTGCATTAACGAGGCCACGAGTTCCTTACACCGACTATTTAACTGTTTGGGCATCTTTATATACCAAAATTGCCTTTATCTACTCGTAAAATGAATAATTTTGTTTTGAAACAAACAGTTGTTGATTTACAATATGCGGGGCCAAAGGATTTATAAAGATTTGAAATGCCACAAATTGATTCAGTGTCAAAATTAATACAAATGTCAGTTCCCAGTTTAAATAAGTTTCAAGGTGACAATGTGTCAACGCTGCGAAATCGGTTTAGTGCGTTTACATGTCGATAAGTGATTGGAGCGTTTGCAAAACATTTTATTTCGCATAATGCGTCTAAATTTATCAGAAAGCAACTTATGTGATATTTTAATAACAATGTTTATATGACTATTAACCATAATAAGAGAGTAATGACCATTTTACAATTTATATATCACATTAATATGAAACTGCAATAGAGCAATTGTTTGTGATAGAAACCTAGGCATTAGGTCGGGGAATTTTTATCGTGATGACGTGCACGCCACTTTGTTTGTCGTTGACTATATCTTCTTTTGTTACGAATTACTCACAAATACGAAATGTTTGAATTTGTTCAGAGGAAAAAGCGTAACCTATTATTTTTGCATAAAAATATCATTTATCTTCCGGAATGGTTTCCGATTAATATCGGCAAGGTAGACTAGTGTATTTTGCTATAAGATACCATTTGAACTAACCCTATATATTGCTCAATAAACTAGTAGTGATGGCTGGAAAATAGGTGTTTTGGGATAAGCGATAAGAAATTCTCAAAACCTACTAGACCAATCTACTCTAATTTTATTGTTACTATTTAGAAGTACGAATCCTACAAATTTAAGTACCAAAACCTGCAGTTTGCCTCGGTTTTCAGCCATAACTTTTTTGTTATTAGTCGGATCTTTTTAAGTGTGGTCTCATCTTATAGGTCTTATAAATACCTAAAAATCCTATATTAAGAGTTTTTACTTTTCTCCCAACACTTTCGATTTAATCCCAAAAAACACGTTTTCTTCGTCGTCGAATAAAAAGTTTTCAGACAAGAATTGGTGTACCCATTTTATGCGTCCATGTTTTGAATACCACCTTGAATAATAAAACCAGGCTGAACAATTATTTCCTAAACCAGGGGTATTGTCGTCTAATATGATTAGATTAAGGTCAATAGGGCTAAACTCATACAGCAAAATTGGGTCCCTTAATGCTACTGGTCTGATTAGTGGTATCTATTATATTCCCTTTCTGAATGAGTGGTAAAGTGCCCATATGGAATTTTTCTCATTTTTGGGCACTTTGAGCTGATACGATACACCTGTCGTACAATAGCCGTAAGTCCCCATATATTTGTCGTAGTGGTGACTACTAGAAATTCATAGACTCTAGACCATTGATTTCCAAAGTGGTCTATATCGACCCCTAGGGGTCTATGACAACCTGCAAGGGGTCTACGTCAGCGAAAAAAAATTTGGGGGTCCATGAAATGAATATGGGGGTCCACGATAATGGATCTTAACACATACACTGATAGTACTACCTATTTACTTACATCATAATAAACATACGTATACATTATTTATAACAGTACCTATGAAGTAAAAAATGTATTATATATGTTTATAAAATTGTGTAAGTTGTAGGATGTTGGTTTTCGCTTTGTGGTCGCAATACATTTTGAACTTGTAAAAACCTGAGAGTCGCAGTCTCAGAGCTTCGCTACCTTGTTCAATAATCACTCCATAAATACGAATGTGGGACAAATTCGTTTATTCGTTTCCTGAATCTTGAAAAGTAAAATGCTAAGAAAATATTTTAAAAAATATAAACAGATAGTATATCACACAAATTATAGTGAGTCAGTGTTATTTTGTTTGAGAGTGCTGGAGAAAAGTAAGTACATTATTTTTTATTAAATTTTAGTTTTGTACTCGTAGTTAGCAAAGATAGATAAATTACGCCAATTATGACTTTAGTTATTAGTAGTTAAATATTCAATCATGCAAAATTACACGAGTACTCCTCAATAGTTTCTTTTTGAAAGTTTTAGCAATCGGTGACATAATTACAGTGCAATCTCCGTAATTCGAGCTAATTGTTGCAAGAAGATGTTCGAATTATGAAATGTTTTCGGAAAAATCAAAAAATATTTTTAATATACAGCTGCTGGATTTTCTGTCTTATTTAAATAATTTAATTTTGCCCACAGATGACTGATGCCATGCCCGAATCTAAAAAGAAATGTGGACAGTACAGTGTTGATTATTTGAAATTTGGCTTCATTCCATCATTGCCGGACAAACAATCGCCTATGTGCCTTTTATGCAACAAAGTTTTGGGCAATGACGCTATGAAACCATCTAAACTGCAAGATCATCTGAGAAGATGCCACCCTGATAAAACAGAGAAAGATTTGAAATACTTTCAAACACTCAAAGATAAATTTCAGAAGAGACCTACATTGGACAGAATGTTCGCTTCGACGTCACAAAGAAATGGTGATGGTTTGCGGGCGTCTTACAATATCTCGTTACTGACAGCAAAATCCGGACAACCGCATACTATCGGAGAGAAGTTAATTTTGCCAGCCGTTGAAGAGGTTTTAAAAACTGTTTTACACAAACCTGCATCTGATATCATTAAAAGAATTCCCTTAAGCAACAACGTATTGATGAAATGAGTTCTGATATTGAAAGCTTCTTATGTAATTATTTGCAAACGACCCATTTTCTATACAACTGGACGAGTCAACTTTACCTGATAATGCAGCATTATTATTGGCATATGTTCGTTTTATTATGAATCAAGAAATCTACGAAGAACTGCTCTTCGCAAGAACTTTGATAACCGACACTAAAGGTGAATCAATATTTCATGTTTTGAAGGATTACTTCATTGAAAAAGCAATTCCTTTATCAAATATAATATCAGTAGCTACAGATGGAGCACCTGCCATGGTCGACGTTATCGTGGATTTATAAGCTATTTAAAACAATATGTGTCAGGGGTGTTAGCAATACATTGCGTCATCCATCGACAACATTTAGTTGCTAGAAATTTTAGTGTTAGATTACATGAATCACTTCATTTAGTCATAGATGCAGTAAACCGAATCCGAAGCAACGCGTTGAATATGCGGTTATTTGCGCAGTTGTGTGAAGAATATGACGAACACTTTCATCAATTACTCCTTCACACTGAAGTACGCTGGCTGTCGAAAGGCTTATGTTTGACAAGATTTTTTGCACTTTTTGAGACTATTTTAGAATTTCTGGATACTAAAGATAAAATTTTAAAAGAAAATTTAATGAAGAGGAAAACAGACATCGCCTATTTAACAGATTTGTTTACAAAATTTAATATGGTTAATTTGCAATTACAAGGCGACAGTTGAAATTTGATTAAAACAAAGTCCATCTTATCAGCGTTTCTTGCCAGAGTTAAAATAATGAAGCAAAATATTGGACGGGGCGAATTTTCTCAGTTCCCCAATTTGTCACATACAAGCTGCCAGGAAGACGACGTTTCAACTTACGTTCAACATTTAAATGCCCTCTATTCAGATTTTGAATCTAGGTTTGAGGATATTTTGACTATGGTAATACCACCGTGGATAATTAATCCATATGGAGACATAGAAGAAACGAATGTCATAATACAAGAGGAACTGACTGCACTAAGTACAAACGAAGAACTTTAGGTTCAGTTTAAAAACGGATATCAGCAATTCTGTCTGCAAAACAACATACCCGTTACTTATCCCGTATTATGGGATATAGCGAGGAAATTTTTAATTTCCTTTCCATCGTCATACCTAGTGAAAAGGGGGTTAAGCGCTGTTACCAATCTCCTAACGAAAAAAAGAAACAGACTGGACATCATTAGCCGAGGAGATTTAAGATTAACCCTTACAAAATTGACGCCAAATGTTGATAATTTATTATTAAAGCATCAGGTTCATCCTTCTCACTAAAAATATTGACTTATTGCTTATGTTATTTTATTTATAGTTTATTTTATGTTTATTGGCGTCTGACCAATAAATGCCCGCATTGGGAATAAATGCCCGCATTGGGAATAAGTGCCGCATTGATTTTTTTAAAGAACCCCCTTTTATAGAAAATATTTTTTTTTAAATTATTCTGAAAATTCAAGGATAGGTACACACTAAAATTCGTTAATCTTTTGCCTATTTTTAGATAACTTAAACGTATAAGAAGCGGAATTTAATCAAACTAACAGTGAAATTATTGTAGAACATACATAAATTCAATTAATAAATGTACGAATTAACATGTATTTTTACTTTAAGTTTTTAACACTAAACTTCACTATAGTTAGAAATTTACAGGAAATCAATATCAGGTAAGTAGGGGGTCTACCCAACACGGAAAAACATGGCAAGGGGTCTACGACACAAAAAAGATTGGGGAACTCTGCTCTAGACGCTTTCGCATGATGGCGAAAACTTCAAAAAAAATAAGTACAAATTTTTGAACTAATTGAAATTTTCTCTACAGTTGATAACCGCTACGAATTATCCGAATCGAGAAATTCCTAAGATAATCCCGGCCGACTTATCGCTGGTTTTTCTGTTTAATCTTTGAACGACATAACTGTAATTATTATAACAATGGTAATGCTTATTGTCACGGTTTAGGCCAAGAAATAGATAACTTTGTCCATTATTACTTCCTAATGATAAGTTTATGATAGTGCTCGGGCATTTGCCGTCATTTTGATAAACGCGTTTAATCGAAAATGTCGCAACCGTCGATTCTAGGTGAGACAGTAATGGAAAGGGTTATGCAGAGAATTGAACTCGTTTCCATTTCGCTTCTATAAAAATTAGTCATAGCCAACAGGTTACGAGAAATTTAAGGGTAAATGTACATGTGACGATATTTTAATGGCTAAACTAACAACCTAAGCGTATGAAGACTGCTATAATTTGTACATCGTAAAATTTTCTTTCAAAGCGTCCGTTACGTTTGTTCGATACCCTGACGATTCTTAAGTTGAAAAATTCCTATCAAAACAGTCGCGCGGCGTACTCCGCACGTCCACGTGTGAGCATATAAAGGTGCGTTTAGATCTGAGCACGCACGCACTGATTCACCGCGAATGCGAAGTGTAACGGCTATGCGCGAACGCTCACCCTGTATCTTCATGTGGGCGATGGGATCATTTCTTCTCGAAAAAAAAGCAAAATGTTGGTTTTGACACTCTGAAAAGATACTGCAAGCAAGGAGTCTCCAGTTGCCAAAATAACCTCAACCTCGTACGCGAACGACTGGATCAGCCCATGCGTTGAAAAATGATTGCTCAGTGCGTGCGTGCTCATATGTAAAGGCACCTTAAGATGTTTTCACGTGGAGATAACTCCATGAGTCATCATCTATGATCAAGAATACCAGTTCAAAGTCAAACTCATTTTCTTACTATCTTGCATAAGTACCGATTTTTCAGAAAATTCCTGATATCTCCAGCATGAAAATGCAAGTCACTCAATTCCATCAGTATATTGGCCATTTTGCGACTGCGTGGCCTCAGCAACCATTGCAGCGATTTTAATTTAATTACTCAGAAAAAAATCGCGATATTAGACGGACTGATGGAAGTGAGTGAAGGCCATAAAGGCGTCCTACAAATGTAGGGCGCCTTTATGGACCTCATGATTTTCATAGTTTTCTACCGTTCCTTGTCAGTGCTCTATTTTGAGGTTATGTTGCAAATTTCTATTTGCATCAAATTGTTCATGCCTTTGATTAATATCATCTGTTATCTGAGCCTGCAATTTCCTACAATTTAAAAAAAACGGCTTCACAGTAGGAAAGCGCTAATGTTGACACGGAACAGTAGAAATCTAGAGATACCCCAGCCTTACTGAAGGAGAGAAAATCAAGGCGTCATACAATTTATTGTAGGACGCCGGACGATACGGCCCTAAAAGTAGTAAGCCATGGCCACCTCGATTTTGGTAGTCTGTTCTCTCCTTCAGAAGGGCTGGGTGGGGTCGTTCTAGATTTCTGCTGTTATGTGTCAGCGTCAGTGCTCTCCTATTGTGAGGCTGTTTTCTTTTAAAATCGTAAGAAATTTTAGGCTGGATATAACAGATGACATAAAATCAAAAGCATGAACAATTTGATGCAAATAGATATTTGCAGCATAACCTCAAACTAGAGCTTCACCGTTAATACCACAAAATCACAATAAATTAGATTCTTTGGTGTGCACTTATATTTAAAATTGACTCACACCAGTATGTTGACGAATAAACTTTCATCACTACCCAACTAACAATTATCACTCCTATCAGAGTTGCAAGAATGATTATACAGTATTCCTTAAACAACATTGTATACTGTAAGAACATTGGCAAAACCCTCTCAGAACAGCTATACAAGCGGAATGGGCACACCTAATAGGACACATTTAAGAGGTTAAATAAGGGCTGCAGGTAACAGTTATAAAACAAAAGTGTAAGCCTCTTGCAGCCGCTATAGGACATTTGCGTCAGTGCAAGATTCAGTTTTTGTCAACTATACAACTATTCTGTTACGTGATTCTACTTTATTGCAACCAAACTATTTCTTATGTATTGTATAGACGAAGTGAAGAATATATAACTAACACATTACTGTCATCTTGTTTACTTACATATCGGTAATTGTGAATTACATACACAGGTATATGATAAACTTCTACACTGTGATATAGGGCTATTGAATTACTTGCGCAGCGATTTTTATTGTGATTATCGTGCAAATTAGTTACCCAATTTCTACGGGCTTCGTATTTGATTCATATTTTGACAATGATCAAAAGTATGTCTAGATTTTTAAGATGGAAAACTGAACCTATCTGCATTAAATCTGCCACAAATCCTATATTTAGACACAATTACACTAATGTTTATCACCTTATATCTGTAATTTCGAACAGAAACATAATTATTTAATATTAAATAGAGGAATAAATGTTTGCCCAATATGGCGGGTGGTTGTGTACAATCATGGCATCGTCCATGTTGTCTTTAGGTTATTAGAATATTTTGGTCTTGCCTGCAGGTGTTATACAACAATTTGACAAATGTCTGAAATGAAATACCGACAGAGTGGAATGATTTACCCAGAATTTGTACCAGATCTATATCTTCTGTTTGAACAGTTGATAAAACCTTTTGAACCAATATGCATGCGTTGTTTGTCTTAAAACATTGATTATGGCGTTTTAGCATTATATAAAAATATGACAGCAGAAGGTTAGGTTATGATGAAGTTGTTTACCAACATATTTAGCATATGTACAGCCTTTAACAGTTACTAAACAACAGTTGTATAAGTGCTTCCGTTGGGAGCAATTTGTTGGCTAAACTAGAAAATTGCACAGCAAAACAACAAGGCTCGAGTTTGTTTTATAAACGTTACCATGGATGCCACAACACAACCATTTCGACTAACTGCAAATATCCCGTATAAAATAGTTGTATAAACGTGAATGCAACAGTTAAACATTTTCCTTATAAGGTGTTGTATAACTATGCTATAAGAATATTTTAAACACTTCATTTTAGACCAAATATGTTGCAGAAAACAAATCTGCTTTCCACACAACATTAAGCCAGCATTTTTGTGTTCAGGCAACAACAATATAGTCAACGCCAAACAAAGTGGCGTGCACGTCATCACGATAAAAATTCCCCGACCTAATGCCTAGGTTTCTATCACAAACAATTGCTCTATTGCAGTTTCATATTAATGTGATATATAAATTGTAAAATGGTCATTACTCCCTTATTATGGTTAATAGTCATATAAACATTGTTATTAAAATATCACATAAGTTGCTTTCTGATAAATTTAGACGCATTATGCGAAATAAAATGTTTTGCAAACGCTCCAATCACTTATCGACATGTAAACGCACTAAACCGATTTCGCAGCGTTGACACATTGTCACCTTGAAACTTATTTAAACT